ATAATGTTATAATTAATTAAGTAATCATACTATAAATTTATAATGTAATGCTATAATTAATTAAATTTCTAATTATTTAATTAGGTATTGTGCTAATGTAGTAAATTACTAATGTTTATAATATAATGTCATAATTAATTAAATAATCATTTCATTATATAATGTTATAATTAATTATATAATGATACTATAATGTAATGTTATAATGAATTAAGTAATTATACTATAAATCTTTAATATAATATTATAATTAATTAAATTTCTAATAATTTAATTAAGTATTGTACTAATGTTTATAATTGAATGTTATAATTAATTAAGCAATCATTTGTTTATAACGTAATGTTATAATTAATTAAGTAATCATACTATAAATTTATAATGTAATATTATAATTAATTAAATTTCTAATCATTTAAGTAAGTATTGTACTAATGTAGTAAATTACTGATGTTTATAATATAATATCATAATTAGTTAAGTAATCATTTCATTATGTAATATTATAATTAATTATGTCATCGTACTATAATGTAATATTATAATGAATTAAGTAATCATATTATAAATATTTAATATAATATTATAATTAATTAAATTTTTAATCGTTTAATTAAGTATTGTACTAATGTTTAATTGTTTATAATGGAATGTTATAATTAATTAAATAATCATTTAATTATAATGTAATGTTATAATTGATTAAATAATCATTTAACTAGTAATGTATTAATGTTTATCAATTTATTTTATATAATTAATTAACTATTAATTTATTACATATATATATTTAAAACTTGATAATTAAAATAAATAACTAAATATTATATTATTATCCAATCAAATATATTATTCTATTCAAAAATAAATCTTTAAGGAACATTAAAACATTTTGGCAATATTATTACACCAATGCAGGGTTAGGTCAAAGGGTTCTGTTGACTTCTTAATAATTGAGTTCAACTCTTCAAGATTTGTTAAAACAGTGGCCATCTAATAAATGCCGTTGAACTCCTATTTAGTAAATTAGGCCTTGTGGTGAGCGAGCCCATGACTTAAAATAGACAGAACACCAAGAAAATTAAAAGCTCTCAATAAATATCATATACTGTTCATTCACTCTTATTTTTGGCGAGAAATCAAGTATCGATTGGATCCAAGCACTTTTATACTCACCTTAAGCATTAATTAGAATGCTATTGTTTTCTTCTTCTCCAGTGTAGGAGTCAAAAGAATCATGTGCAGTCAATCTAATATTTCGTTAAATGAAAAGAATCATATAGCAATGAATTTTGTGTATCAAATCTGCAGATTTCATAGTTGATTTGTAATTTACATAATCTTCATCTCCTATATATAGATAGACAATATTCTTCAAACCACATTTGAGAGCTACCATTGGCTTAAGTTTAGGGTTTATCAACATTAAAGACAGTGGGATCATATTGAAGCCTAAAATGTTAGAGAATTGGAAATCAAAATAAAACATGATGTTTGGGATCATATATAGTTCTTGGGTTTGGATTTTATATACAACCCACACGAATCAAACACAATAATAATAAGTTTGGGTGGGAACATGTCATTCAGCCCCATAATCGCCGTTAACCTTGCTTGCTCTCCTGCCGCTATCCTCAACCTTTCAACCATTAAACAATCATTATTTTTTTATTTTTTTCTTCATTTGATTCCTTAACGGTTACCCGAGAGACCCACTTGCCTCCTCCAAAATTGCACACAGACATCTAAGAAACCTAAACTTTTTTCACTTTTTACTACCTTTACATTGGGAGAAGGAGAGCATTGGATTCCACTTGTGAGGGCTTTATTTATATCTAGCTGCTTCGTGTACCGAGTAGGGCCGGCGTTTAAATGTTATTTCATGTTATTGATGACACGCATCACTCAAGCTTTGAAGGTGGAAACCCAACTCAAGATGAACACTCCAGAAAATGCGCTTTTCCGATATAAGTTTCTCCTCTAAATTTCTCCCTCTGCCAAATCTGCCTAGAACTTCATATCAAGCTCTGTATTTGGTTGATCTTCTGTTTATCAATCAATCGTTTATCATTCTCCCAAACGCGAATTCCAGGTATTCCACTAAGTGTTATGTTATGTACTTATGTTGACTGGGTTTGTTTTTTTCACTTTCATCCTAAATTTAAAATACTTTTTATTTTTTCAATTATCACTTATTTTGTAATGAGTAAGTCAGATATTATGACTTTTAAATGAAATCTGAAACAAATATATACCTTAAATCATGTGAAACATACTTTTATCTCATAATGAATATAAATATTCAATAGTGTTGACTCGAATTAAGTTAATTTAAAAAAAAAAGTAACCAGTTGAGTACTCCTGCCGTCGGAATCCAGTTCCGGCCATCGGATAAGTAGCTAGCTAGGTAACAAAACGGTCTCTAAACTTATCTTACCATATAATTTTTCATAGCGCCAGTTTATCTAGATTTTAAAGAGAAATATGAGGCCAACAAATGTTTTACTGTAAGATCCGGCCAAGAGACTTTTTTCTACCATGGAATGTTCTCGGCAACTTTTTTAATCGGTGGATCCCGGCGATAGACCGAATTCTTAACCTAAAATATTCTATATAATAAATTAATATTATTAACTCTGTTAAGGATGGAATTTGGTCCATAACTCAAAAATGTCTTGATTGATAGGAAGGATCTAGTTTTGATGGGTTTGGAAATTAGATCTGGATGATCTGGATCTAAGATTTCCTTTTCTTCACAAGTCTCTTGGAAAGTGGATGGATATCCGGGTCGAGAAGATAATAGTCAAATTAGTATATTTTTATTGAGTAGTCAAATTAGTATATTTTTATTGAGTTTTATCTTCTTCGATTTCTTTTTCCCTAAAAAGATTTATATTTATTTATTGAGAATTAAGAGTTTCTGGTATATGCTTATTATTTCAATTGTTAATGAAAATTTTCCTATTATTGTAGCAGGGCAAACTACATTTGTCGGTTATTAATTATTATAAGGTCAGTTGGGTATGCCGTGTTGTATTGTAATATGTATCTGTTGATTAAAACTTTGCACTTATTAACTAATACAATTTATGAATACCTAATACATATATACATAACTGATAACACTATACAACACCAGTAGATCAGTTATTAGTATATAATTTTTCTTATAATTTTAAATTGCACTCCCACTATCATTGATGTCAAAGTACTTTCATGTCGCCAAATGTGTGCCAAGAATTTACTGAATTTTTTTTTTTTTTTTTAATCCTCCCGGTATAATTCTATTTAATGTATGTAATACATAGCAATGCAAATATTACAATACAATACGGCATACTCAACATGACCATTATAAAGTGTCAGAATACGTCTAACTCTTTTGCGAGGAAAAAGAAGACGCCTAAGGTACTAAAGTTTATATTGTTTTATTATGCCAAATATGTGATAATACTGCATTACTTCACTGTTTTACTAATTTTATTGGCATTTTAGTAGGGATTAAGATCATTGTTTTAAAACTTTTTTTTTTTTTTTTGGTAATTTTCTTATTGTGCTGTGAGTTTTATGTCCTACTTCACGACAAGGAAAAATATACTAAATAATGTGCTTTCAGTATTCAGCCGACTATTTGACGTGGAGAGTGAGGTATGTTTTACATTTAATTATTGTATTATTTTACCATGCCAAATATTTATACGTAACGTTATGATTCGTGGCATGAAGTTGTGTAGTAATATATATCTTTACGAGTACATTGGTTGTATTACTGGATGTATGGAGTGTAATTAGGTCAACAAAATAAGATGTTTTTAATGTCTGATTTGCGTTTAATTAATGTTATTTGAACCGCTAGCTCATCAGTGCCAACGTCGGATGAAGTTGTATAATAATATTTATACGAGTATCCTGGCTCCACCTCAAACTCAAACTCTGGTTGGTCCATCTCCTTAGCAGCTAGCAAGTTTTGCTAAATGCTAAACTGTCCGTAAACGTAGTGCAATTATCAAATGACTGCATCCCAAGGACTGTACTAAATGTATTTAGTAGATGTTATATACGTGGCTTGAAGGCTTCCAAATGGTATGTAGTAGAACTCATTTTTTTTACTTTGTTTCTTCGGTTTGGTATACACAACTGCAACCTACTACTTTGGTTTTTTTTTTTTTTTGGAGTCTATAGACTAGTTTTTATTTTTAAAAGAATATTAAAAAAAAAATTGTTTTGTGGGTTAGATTTGGTGCTTCTTTTTTTTTTTTTTTTATTTAAACTAAAAATTATTGTTTATATATTTATTTGAGAAAGATACAATAATTGACTTCTTTGAAAAATAAAAGAATGTAATCATACAGTTTTCTGCAATTATTCAACTTTTTTCATCATTATCTTGCAATTTTGGACATTGATCTGAAAATTTTTGCCTTGTTTACATTGATGGTGGGTCTATTAAAATAAAACCGAATCTTTACCACCAACTTATTTTAAGTTTGTTCACATCCAATAAGTGAAAAAGGATAATACCACTTCCCTTCCAATATTTTTAAATAAATTATCGTGCTGCTTGCCGAATGTACTCATGAAAATGCGCTATTTGTCAGGCCTGCACTGAAAGAATATTTAGAATGAATACACATTGGAAATGTCATGAAATTCATTAACAGCAGTGTTAGTATTAGTATTACAAAGAAGCCTACAAAAGAGGCATACAAAGTTAACCTTTACCTTTCATCTTCATCATTTCTCTCTCTCTCTTTCTCTATTTCCGTTTTTCCTTCCTTTTTTCCTTAATTTTGTAAGTATTCATTAAACGCATGCCATTTCCAATGTGTATGGAGAAGGAGAGGCGTTGGATTTCCTTACCCAGAATCCAATGGCTGAAAAGATAAAATATGAGAAATTTTAGTTATTATCGATGTCAAAGTGATTGTTTTCTTCATAAAAGAGTTCAAGTTCGGATTTCGGAATATCAGTTGCTCTCTCAACTGAATAAGAAGCTTTGTATTTCTGTTCATCATTCAATCATTCTCGAGGAAGGAATACCAGGTAAATATTCAGTTATTTTATACTTATTACAAGTTGATTTTTATAATAATAATTCAGTAACTTAACAACGTTAAGATCACTTTTGTCTTCACCTAAATTCTTAACTCTGGTTATTGATCTTAATCTGGGTTTGAATATTAGATCCAGATCAACAAGATAATAATGAAATTAAGATTTTATATCCAAATAATTAAAAAAATATATATGAATTATATGTTAATTTGTAGAGTTTATCTTCTTTATTATTATTTTTTTCTTTTCATGTTCTTTTGTCTTATTAAGAGCATATAGGTATGGTATATGCTTTCATTTCAATTTTTATTGTATTTTTCCTAATTTTGTAGGAGGCCAGGCGATGACATACCTTATTATTAATTATTATAAGTCCAGTTTGGTATGCCGTATTGTGTTGTAGTATAGTTTTGTATTTTATTAAATTATCTATTTAACTTTTGCACTAGATAATTAATACATGGAGGTGGGACCCGGGCCCAAAACCCAGTCTCCGGAAAGGCCCAAGGGAGGAGGGACCGACCCAGGCCGGTCCCTCCTCCAGGCCTGGGTCAATTAATTTTTAAAACCCCCTAAATTCATAAGCCCCTGAAAAATAACAAAAACCCTCATATAATATTAAAATTCATATAAATATAAATTTAGGAGTTAAAATAATTTTACAAAAAAATAAAAAATTTTAAATTTTCAGGCCCATAGGACTGGTCCTTAGGGCCCAGTAGGTCCCGGGCCTTGCCCACCTCTTTATAATACAAATAGATATTTTTATAATACAAATATATAAATATCTATGTAAATACCTCTTTATTTATATAATTCATAAGGGTTTATAAGCGCAGATCAAATGCAAGACTTTGATTTTTTACATTTTGGAAAGATTGATGATAGATAGTAACATAGGATTATACTATTAATAAATCTCAATTTTTTTTTTTTTTAATATTTACATTGTTATGGTTCGATCAATCGATGTCCATGTCAAGTGCTTTGATGTCACCGATTGCATGCCAACAATTGACCTATTGTTAATTTTTACAAAAATTTTGCTTGTTACAATTTAAATAATATGTTAAAGTTTACTAAAAATTATATTATAAGTTTATACATTTTGATGTCAATTACAACAAGACAAACTGGATTTTCTTTCTAATAAACAGTGCAAATATTACAATACAATACGGCATACTCAACATGGACATTATAAATGATCTAAAACAGGCACAACTCATTTGCAAGGTAAAAGATGATGCATAAGGTACTAAGTTTATATTCTTTTACTACGTCCAATTTGTAATTATATTGCATACTTTTGTTTGCTACTAATTTTGTTGGCATTTTAGTAGCGATTAAGATCATATTTTATGTTAAAATAATTTTTTTTTTGAAAAATATATTTAAATTAACTTAATATATAAATAAATCTGAATGATATATTTTTTCTTTTTTTCTTTTTTGTATGATATAAGAACAAGTAGTAAGTTGCTTGTTTAGTAAAAATAAAAAAATTGATGCTTTGTATATATGTCCATTTGATGTTTAATGTAATATTGTTTAAATAATTCTTAGTTATGTTATCCAAACAATGTTTTAATTATATGAACTTAAAAGTAAATCTCAATAAAAATGAAAATTTAAATGAACTAAAATATGCTTGATCGGGAACTTAAAACGATAAAGAAAATAGAGCATATTTATATATGCTTGATCGGGAGTTTAAGATGATAAAGAAAAAAAGAGCATATTAAATGAAGTGATTAAAATAATAAAAATTATTTCAAAACATGGGGAGGCCGAATAAAAAAATCGATAAATTTCTATGTTACGTTTGAAATTTTTTGCTGGCGGTGGCCACCTGCACGTAGGTCGTCACTGGTTTATAACATAGAAGTTTAATATTTAATATTTTAGTATAATAATGAGGGGCAAATAGAACCACCCTGTATCTTATTATGTTATTGTATATAATTTATACATAAACATGGAAAATCAGTTAAATATTAAACACACTTAAGATTATTAGAAAGTATCATTACTTTTTTTAGAGTTACAAAAAAGGTTTTTAATAATTCCTGAGGATTTTTGATAATTTTAAGAGGTATGTAAAACTTTCTTATAATTGTAAGTTCATTAAATATTAATCAATTTTATAGAGGTTAATGTAATAAATCCCTACTTTATTTATTTCCAATATAAGCTCAACTTACCAATTCACCATAGTTTCCTTATAATAATTTTATAAAGGCTCCGTGGTTTCATGTTTCTATTAGTTAAACCTGCCATTGATATGAAACAATTATTTAGCTCCCTTAACATTCGGTGAATTTGTCATTCACCTTCCCTGACAGAGGCAAAGGGAGGTGTTTGACAATTTCTTCAAATGTGAAGGGAAGCTATAATGGTTTCTATTAGCTCACGGGTGTAACTAATAGAATCCTCAAACCTCAGGGGTGGTAATTGATAGTGAGTCCTTTATATATAATATACATAATGTTTTGCATTTAAGTAATGTTTGTTGACCTGTCGTTAGTGCTGGGTTAGTTGGACGAAATTGCTTACTTTAAAGAAAATGCTCTCAACGGCATTGGATGTATTGAGCAATTGGTCAACGAAATAATTTGAGCGATTGGTTTCTCAATGTAAGACTGCTACGACACGGTTTGAGTTAAGACCAGTCTTAAACTACTTGTCATTGCGAAGCTTCACGTTTGTTTCCTCTTGGAATTATGTCAATGGTCGCTACTTCAGGTTTGGTTTAACCTATAGATTTTCATGTAAATATGTATATGATTGAATTTGCTTCATTACTTCCACCTTACATATGATTTTGCAGGAACTCATGCAGAGCCGCCAGCTCTGATGGCTCCTCCTCCAAAAGTGGTGGCTCCTCCAACACCTCCTCCTCCAAGTCGGTCCTAAAAATGGTACGCATGAGATTGTGTTCTGTATGATAATAACTAATTATCAGTTTAGTCAATTATATATCAGTTACAATCAAACAAAGTGCAATATTTTTTTTTTTATAAATAATAGATGGTCAGATGGTAAAAGAGCAAAAAATGATTTAACATGATCTCACAAGTTCGAGTCATTTTAATGGTAAAAGAATAAGAGGACCATCTAATATGGTCTCTAGAGTTCGAGTCCCCACGACCCGTAATAGGGGAGACTATTGAAGCTCTTATCCGGTCAATAATTCCGAGGTCTTGAAGGATTAATTGAGGTCCGTAGCTGGTCTGGATACCCCTAATCATTAAAATACTACTAATAATAATAATAATGCAAATCTTAAATGACAATACAATATACTCAACATGATTGGTATAATGTGTTCACATTTTCGCTCAAATCATTTGCTGGGAGGAAAAGAAGACGCACAAAGGCACTAAAGTTCATATTCTCTTACTATATCATATATGTGGTCATATTGCATTACTTCACTTTGCTAATATATTTATTGGCGTTTTAGTAGAGATTAAGGTCATTAGTTTGTGTTAAATTTAAACTTTTTCTTTTTCCTTGCTCTTCTGTGTGTTTTTATGTCATGGGTTTCCTTGGCACAAGATCTAATTTACAAAATGGAACAAATGGGGTTTTAGTAAAGGGCCAACTATTTGACAAACTTGACTAACGTTGTATGGGTTTAACACATTGTATGATGGTTCTTCCCGGCCATCATGACGTGAAGGTTTGGGCCGAGTTTCCACAATTTAAACCGCTTTATTACTGAATTTTTTATTAAAAAAAAAAAGTTAGGGGGATAGAGATTTTGATATATATATAAGAAAAATGTAACGAAATTATTATTAAAATTTATTATACATGTTTAATTCTCTTGTTTTCACACATTTCTTTCTCTATATTTTCTAGAAATTTAAATTAAAAACAGCTTTATTTCGCTTCTCAAAAAATCAAAATAAGTTAAATTTATTGTGTGGGTACTCTATTTTCATTTCTCTCTCTCTCTCTTTTTTTTTTTTTTTTTTTTTTTTTTTTTTTTTTTTTTTGTAAATAGCCAAATATCATTTCTTGGTAGGCCGGATAGAATTGTCATCCTCAAGTTTCATACCAAAAAAAAAGCAAAGAAACCATAGTTTCCACTACTTTATAATCCTCAATGTCTGATTGAGTATAATTTTCATCTAAAAGTTATCTGAAATTATTTAAAAAAAAAAAAAAAAAAAAAAAAAAACTAAAATTTCCACATTGAACTATCTGTAACACAAGGCCTAATTTACTATTGTAAAATATGGGCTTTTCTATTCTAGTGCTTTGCTTTTGTTTAATCTTCTAAGTTTTACTTGGCCCTCCTCTATCTATTTTCTTTTTATTTCTTTTACTTTAAATATCCTAAAGCCTATATTTTTATCATCTATTTCATTTCATTTTTTACAATGCAAAATTCAATTATTTATTTCATGTCCTTTTAATTTTATTTGTTTCAACAAATGGAAACTCATAACTCATAATTTAATTTTGACAGAATATTAAGAAAATAATAATCAAATAATTAAGAATTTAAGCAAATTAAGTATTTTATATCAGAATAGAAAGATATTTTGTTTTTTTTAGAGTCGACCAAATTTCAAAAAGTTAAACATCGAATTTTTTTTTTTTTTTCAAGTTCCGCAGATCTGTCACTCAAATAATTAAAAAGAAAATTATAAGAAGATTAGTTCCACAATTTTTTTGTTTTTCAAAAAGCTGAACTTTAGATTAATATTATTTTAGTAGTTTGGTTGAACTTAGACTTAAATGGTGTTTGTTTTTTGTTTGAAAGCTGAATGCATATGTTATCTACATATTTCTAAATATATAAATCTGATCAATGTGTTTGTTTTTTATTTTTCATTGTTTGATTATAAGTATTGAATTGCTTGTTTTTATATAGTGTAAAAATCTTAAAACCAATGTTTTGACACATATACCCTTATTAAACATAATATAATTTTATATTTTATACGTTTTAAACAATTTTGAATTATCAAATTTATGAAAAATTAAAAAAAAAATGTATATAAATTAAAGATAACTGTGTTATTGTATTTTGATATAATATTTAAAAAAATTATTATAACAAAAAAAAAGTAAAATAATACCAAAAACACATAATGCATATAGGTTTTTAAGGAATTATATAAAATTAATAGGGGGATTGTTGACAAAAGAAGATTATTGTTGATTAAGATGTTTTAGTATTAAGATAAAAACCGTATATTTTAGCTTTTTATTTATATCTGAAAACAAACAAAACCTAAAACGTATTAATCTTCTAAAATAAATTACTTATAATCTTAAGATTAAAAAACAGATAGACTCAATCACTCGAATAAATAAATAAATAAGAAAATTCTAAGATGACTAATTCCATAAAATTTATGTATTATCTAAATGTGACCAATCTTAAGAAATAACAGTTAGGAAGTAAGTCTTCTAATTTTTATTTTTTAAGTTTGGTCAGACAAAGACTTGGTCATTCAAATAATTAAAAAAAAAAAAAAAAATGAAGACGACTAATTCCATAAATAAAAAATTTGAACTTCCATTTTTTTTTTTTTTTTTTTAATTTGTTCACAATCAAACTAAGTTACTTCTCTCACTTTCTTTTCTGAAATTTTCTGTTTGGTTCTTGAGAAAGTTTCGCAACTTTCAAATCTTTTTCTTTTCTTGATCCTAAGACTCTATTAGTGGGAGAGTGATAAATCATAACTAATAATACTTCAATTAGTTAGTGGTATGATATGCCTATTGCTCAACATTATATCAGTCGAATACGTTCCTCACATAAAACTTAGATTTTTTTTTTTTCTATATCTAGTTTAATGTGAGGATTCAAACTTTAAACCTTTGACTCTGATACATATTATCATTCCACCTAAAAGTTTAAGATAGTAAGTACTGACTCAACATTATAATAGTCTAATTCATGAACTTTTTTTTTTTTTTTTTTTTAACCATTTGGTGTGTGTCCGGATGGCAAGACTTTTAGGTGGATTACTTAGAGGTCTTGTGTTTGAGTCCCACAAAGTGGTCACTTACCATATTTGTGACTTACCTGGCCTATTGGGTTTGTATGGTATTCAATGGACAGCGAGGATTAGTTGAGGTACGTGCAAGTTAGCCCGAATACCTAGGTCACCAAAAAAAAAAAAAAAAATCCATGGGCATCTTACATTATTCGATTTGGATATTCTGCATTATCAGTTTATTTAATTTTAAAGCCTTTACTCAAAGTGGTTTTTATTCGTACATTTTGCTCTTTATTTGCTGCTTATTATTTACCTTTCATGTATTTCATAATTTTAATTTCTTTGCTTTTCACTTAGATTGTTATATCAGTTTTACACATACGTAGTGCAGTATCAATTCATAAATGTTAATCTCTCTTGTTCTTGAATGGTGATTGTGATTTACTACTTTGTTTGGTTGTGTTAAGTGTTAAGTGTCAAGGTTTTCATCAAATTGGTATCAGAGCATGATCTTGTGCCCATGGGACATCACCTACGTCGTAGGTTGACACAGTGACAAGTTAACCTTGGGCCCATGTTGCTACCCCAAGAAAGGGCATGAAGGCCTAAGGGAAAGGAGATCCACCTAGTCACCCAAGGGGTAAAGAGGCTGACGTGGACGTCGATTGTGGAAGCATGAAAGAATGTTAGGATCCGACATTGGAAGGGAAAATGGCGGGCGTGTGTGTTATTTTGGCAAACCGATTTTCCGAGAAGAGCTCTACCCAAGCCCATCAAAGACCCATGGCCTAGGCCATTTGTTTGAGTTGTTGGGGTGTGTGCCTATCATTTTTCAATTAAATAGACTCTCTAATGAGAAACAAAATCTTCTAAATACTCCTTAAAGGTCTTGGTTTTATTGGACCATTTGTATCTATATGCATTAGGATCTTAATTCATGTATCTCTTTGTTCGAGAAATAAAAATATGATAATCGAATAATTAACTAGTTAGAGAGGGTATTGATCATAAAATGGGTTGATGATACTATAAGTTTTTTAACACTAAAAACTTCTATAGCTGTATCACTGACCTCTTTTTTGGTCTATATTTGCTATAACGACATTTTCGAAAACAAGGTTGTGCTAGAGAAAGTATCTCATGAAAGTTTTCGACATCGTTATGACCCCAAACCACCACCATTCTCTTTTCCAATCATCACTCACTAAAATCCATAAAACCTTACTCCTGCCGATCCCGCCAATTACCAGCAATCGAGCAATTAGGGTTTGCGCAACCATCCCTCTCAAGTCAAATTTCGACCAAGCATGACCACCAGAGTCCATTCTGCGACCACCAAAAGAGTCATTGACCTCCCCTCTTCAAAAGACCTAACAATCTGGACCAAGTTTGCTCTTCGTTCGCCGTTGAATTGGAAAGTGTATTTTGGGTAGTAAACGGAATATAAATTGAGGTAGTAAAGTGGTATTTAAATGTTTATAAGTGGGAAAGTGTCATTAAGCCACTATTTGAGTGGGAAAAAGTTGTTTACTATTTTCTAAAAGATTATCCTTAATTGTAGATAAAAACTATAAGGACATAATAATTAACTAACAATTTTACCCTTTCATCGTTAAAGTTAACCAATGGGTTCTAAATTTAAGATAATTAAAATTGAAAAGACAAAATACATTAAAAAAATTATCAAAAGAGTTTAACGAATCAACCATAAACCCTAAATGACTATTATTGTATCAAGTTCCTCCTTAATCTCAATACTTGAAACATCAGGTCATGATATTGTTGTAACTTAATTTTTTGACATTTCTTATGGACCATTTATTTTTTTATCTATCCAATGGTATTGAACGGTGCAAAATTGACATTAAATTTAACTAGTTTAAATATCTCTCTTATTTACAATTGGATTAACAAAATTGAATATATAACTAGTTTAAATATCTCTCTTATTTACAATTGGATTAACAAAATTGAATATATAAAATTAAGTCAAAATTTTAAGTCACAATATC